CAACCTTTGCAATCTCAGCACAAAGAGCATTTACAACACAACAGCAGGCATGAGGTGACCACGCTTGTCACCTCCTGCATCTCAAAAATAAGACCTTCCCAAATGGGTTAATTGTAGCAGAGACATGTGAGAACAGAGAGTTTCTTCTCCTTGGTGTTGCTCCACAGTTTCCATCTGGCAGGCAGAACTATTACTCGGCCCTTTCCTTGATCCCAGCGATGAGACTTTGGAGCGAAATCCCTTGAAGCCTCCCATTGGTGTGTAAATGCTCTTTGTGCTGAGATTGCAAAGGTTGGGAGGCTTCAACAATGGCTATTTTGCTGCGTCAAAGTCTCATTGGCTTGCAAGAGCTCTTTGGCTGGATCTGGTATAGGCTTCAATTTGCAGAGGACAGAGGCATAGTGCGAGATCACAAAAGACCAGAAGTGGAAGATCTCAAACTAATCATCTTGCGTGATCTCGCCCTGGAGGACTTTAGGCCTGTGTTCCCCACAAATTGAGGACTGCAGTAGATCCAGGGAAAAAGTCTTTGAAAACAGAGGCCTTTCCTTTGTTTTCCAAACCACTTTGCCCTAGATCTCATGCAGTCCTTGGTTGGCCTAATGTACTGTAGTACGAGAGCATGAGATCAGCAGGGCCAGATCTACCACTATTGATCTTGTGTATCTCTCACTATGTTAGGCTTCTTTGTTCTGCAAATGCACCTAAGCAGGCAAAGGAACTGACGGCTTGCTACATCCTCCTAATCTAAGTCCCAGCAGGGTGGAGTGCGGGTACAGGTAGGGTGATTGTCGTTGCAACACCTCTGCTGTCATTCGTAAGTGTAAATGACCACTGTGGTGCTGCAACGTTCGCAATTTCAGTACTGAGACTTAAGAATTTGGGAGAGGGCTAGGTCGTATCTTAGAACGGTCGCTTAGTGAACTGTCATAACTTTGAGATTATCTGCGCCCTAGGATGCTCTGAGTCACACTTCAAGAAGCCATTGTTCTTGAATTGGATTGGGAGAATGCTCTTCCATAGCCTGAGCATGAAAGTTATGTTCTCACACAATTTTGGAGGTTTCAGAGGACAAATGACAACACCTTCTTCTCACGTGACCTCCAGAAGACACATAAAATAACATCCCATTCTTCTCAGCCTCCATAGATAAGTTCAAAGAGAAATGGGAATATACAGATAAGAAATGGCAGAGAAAGCATCTAAGCAAAGAGATATTGACTCTTTCCTTCCTTGGAGTACCAGAAGGCCAGATACTTTATGTTTCCTTTCCAGGAGTCCCTATCTGATTAGAGATTTTTTAAATAAAAAGTAACTATAATCTGCCTTTCTTAACTCTCTGATTGTGGACTACAAAACTCTTACCAACAGAGACTACATTTCTATGGTTTCCCAGCATGACTTCTGAATACAGCGCTTTTTGGTCAGGATCCAGCTGAGACCATTCCTCCTCAGAGAAATACAGAGCCACCTCCTCGAACGACACAAGACTCTCCTGAAAATGGAATAAAATAACAGAACGGCAGGATTAGAAAGATCTGGTGAACTTCATCAGTAATTTAGATAAGAGGATAGGGAGGAAACTCAGTTTCCTTCAAAAGCTGTGGGAGTTTAATCACTGGCAGCTTTCAAGAAGATACTAAACTGCCAACAGTCAGAAATGGTGATGGGGGGGTTGGACCATATGATCTACAAGGACCCTTCCAAGTGCTAATCTGTACCATATGATGTCAATAAATTACAAAAAGAAAATTCCGGAAGGACTTTAAACGAAGTGCTTCTGGTAAACACAAAGTTGGAAGAGCACCTAGCAGAACAAGATAACCAGAGGAAGCGATATTGGCTGACAGCCACTTCAACCTGCCATTCCGCTGTCCAATTTGTGGAAGGACAGAGAAACAATCCAGTCCAAACAAGGGGGGGGGGGAGAAGGAAAGAGCACTCTGCACACCCACTTCACTTCCTGAAGGTGAGACTACAAACCAAATAACTTTTCCCTTTCTTACTTGATTTAAAGGTTCAACCGCTGTTTGATCGCCATCAAAAAAACCAGGAAATTTCATTCTTTGTTTCTCTGTAAGGAATAAATAATTTCAAAGTAAATAATTAACAAAATATTCATTTTATGTAATTATTTTAGACAACTTATATGCCGCTTATTTGCACATGGCGACTCAAGGGGGCTTAGAAAATATAAAACCTATATTAAAACAATAAAACTAATAAAGAGCAAATTATAAAACATTAAAATAATAAAATCAACCTCACTCCTCCTCCTGCACGACAGCACCTCACAGGAGCCAAATAATGCGCTCTATTCTGCTCTTGGTACTCCAGGCCCACTGGCAGAACCAGGTCTTCAACGCCTTCCGGAAGAGTGCTAGAGTGGGAGCCATTCTAATTTCTGGGGAGATGGTGTTCCAGAGAGAGGGAGCCCCCACGGAGAAGGCTCTTCTGGGTCTCACCAGGTGTATCTCCCTAGAGGATGGGGCATGTAACATTCCCTGCCTCCATCGGGTACATATAACCGGTAAGAGATGATCCGTTAGATATTCTGGTCCTAAGCTATGAAGGGCTTTAAAGATTCCAACCAGCACCTTGAATTGCACCCAGAAGCAAATTGGCAGCCAGTGCAGCTCCTGCAGGAGAGGTCATATATGTGCAAACTGGGATCTGCACAAAATCATGCGGGCTGCTGTGTTTTGCAACAAATGGAATTTTCAGATGCTCTTCATGGGTATCCCCATGTAGAGAATGTTACAATAGTCAACACAGGAAGTGACTAGGGCATGATTGACTGTGAGTAGGGCTTGTCGGTCCAGGAAGGGGCGTAACTGACGCACAACCCGTAGTTGCGCAAAGGCCCTCCTGGCCACGACTGTCAGGTGCCCTTCGAGCAGCAGTCATGACTCCAGGAGAACCCCCAGATTATGCACAGGATCTGTTTGGGGTAGTGCCACCCACCCAAGAGCAGAGGTGGCAATTCTCCCTTGGCCAACAAATCACAAACCCAAAGATACTCGATCTTGCCATTGCTTACTTTCAACCCGTTGCTTCCCATTCAGCCCCTCACAGCCTCCAGGCACTGCGAGAGGGAGGACACAGCATCGCTTAAACCACCATGGGCTGAGACACACAACTGAGTATTGTCAGCATACAGCTGGATCTCTCCCCTGTTATCAACACTGACTGAGAGCGGCCACAGGAGAAGGAAGTGAGCCAGGGTAGCAGATGACCTCCTTTCCCATCCCCCAAAACCACCCCAGGAGAATACCATGGTTGATGGTATCGAAAGCTGCCGAGGTCAGATATATCAAGGATGGATACACTACCCCCACCATCCCCTCCACTTTAAAGAGCACATCCTCTTTAAAGTGCTGGGGCACTACCCCCCTCCTGTAGGGAAGAATTAATCACCACCAGTCTACCCACCTGTCACCACCCAGGAAGCTTTCACAAACCAGGAGAGACATGGAGTCTAAAATACAGGTGCTTGGTGACTTCCTGGGCGGAGCTTACTGATGGTAGCAGCTTAACACAGCTGCTCCCGAATTCCTGGTCACATATCTGTTTAGATGATCATCTACCTGACGTCTAACAGGTTTCTTATCCTTCAGGCAAGAAGGGAAGAAGATACAGTTCTGCTGGCAAATGCCCTTTGATTTTTTGCAGCTTCTGTGTCTGTGGAGAGAGGGGGGCCAGCCCGAGGCAGAACGGCATCTGTGCTGGGAACTTCAAACTGCCTTGCGCAGTGCAAAGTAAGCTTTCTCCCACTCAGTTCACAGTTTGATTTATTTGATTTTAATACGAGCTGAGCTCGTTTACGAGGACATTAATTGTTTATCCAAATCCTAGCTTCATTTTTTTTTTACAAGATCTTCTTCTGAAAATCTATTTACTTAGAGGCTTTTAAAATGGCGTGGGGCTGGCTGGATTCTTCTGCAACAATGATTATTTTCTTAATTTCCTTGTTAAACTCTACAGAACTTTAAAATCAAATAAATCAAACT